TCACCATGCCTGTTCTCAAGCTCTTTGTCAGAGAGATCTTTGGCTCTCGAAGAAATCTCCCTCTTGAAGGAGGCCCTGCCCTGGAAAAGCTCTCTTCAGAGTGGTATCCAGTGGGGCCTGAACTGGTATGAGACCCAGAGCTCAGGACAATGATAAGACTCGCTGTGGGAGCAGGTGGCTCAAAGTCTCTCGAGCACATCAAAACTGTCGGGCCTGCCCAGATTAGCAAGCAACTAAAGGTTGTGGAACAGAAGAGGATTGACAAATTGATGATCGAGATGGATGGCTCTGAGAATAGGTCTAAATTTGGTACAAGCACCCTGCTAGGAATATCTTGCTGTCTGTAAGGCTGGAGCTGCTGAAAAGGGGGTTCCCCTTGCTGTCACAGAATTGTGAATCCACTGGCAGTTCTGAAGTCGTCCTGCCAGTTCCAGCTTCCACTCTGATCAGGGATGGTTCTCATTCTGGCAACAGGCTGGCAGTGCAGGAGTTCATGATCCTCCTTCTCAGCCAGCTTCAGGGAAGCCATGCTCATTGGAGCTGAGGCTTACCACACCTGAGGGATGTCATCCAGGACATACAAGAAAACCAATCCCACAGTGTGAGACTGTTAGCCTGAATAATGTCCCCAAAGATGGCCATGTACCATCCCTGGAACCTTGCGTTGGCAGAAGGGATTTTGCAGATGTGATTGAGGTTGTGACCCTTGCGATGGGGAGATTATCCTGTGTCATCTGGTGGGCCCAGTGTAACCACGTGAGTCCTTACAAGCGGAGAACCTTTCCTGTCTGTAGTCAGAGAGAGAGAGGACAATGAGAGAAGGGTGAGAGGGTTGTGATGTTGCTGGCTTTGAAGAAGGAGGAGGGGGCCACAAGCCAAGGAATGTGGGTGACCTCCAGAAGCTGAGAACAGCCATTGGCTGACAGCCAACAAGAAAACGAGTGTCAGCTCAGTCCCATGTCTTTTTTTAAATTTTTTTTTGTGAGGAGGATCAGCCCTGTGCTAACATCTGCCAATCCTGCTCTTTTTTTTTTTTGCTGAGGAAGACTGGCCCTGGGCTAACATCCATGCCCATCTTCCTCCACTTTATATGGGACGCCGCCACAGCATGGCCTGACAAGCAGTGTGTCGGTGCGCGCCCAGGATCCGAACCTGCGAACCCCAGGCCGCCGCAGTGGAGCGCGTGCACTTAACTGCTTGCGCCACCGGGCCGGCCCAGTCCCACATCTTTAAGGAACTGAATTCTGCTAGCATCCCAAATGAGCAAGGGAACACATCCTCCCCTAGAACCTCCAGAAAGGAATTCAGCCCTGTTGACACCTTGATTTCAGCCCAGTGAGACCCATGTCAGACCTCTGACATACAGAGCTGTAAGATAGCAAATGTGGTGTGTAAGCTGCGAAGCTTGTGCTAATTTGTTATGGCAGCAGTAGAAAGTTAACACAAGGTTGAAGGGAGTTTGCTGCCAACGTCCTAGAGAATAAAGAAGCCCTGGTGCCGCCTGGAATGCAATTGGGAAAGCCGGCTATGTTGGTAATGTTGTAACTGGCATGGGCGACTTGCCTTTGAATTCTTCAGGTCTGGGACGTATGACCGGAACTTCAAATATCCCCATCACCCCAGCAAGTACATAATCCCTGAGCAGCTGGTGGACCTGTATGAATCTTTCATCAGGGAAAACCCAGTGGTGTCTATCAAAAAACCTTTAGCCATGATGATTGGGAAACTTGGAGGAAGTTCATTGCTAATTTATGTCTCTATGATTGGCTCAAAATCATCATTTTTCTCACCTTTCTCTCTCATCAAGTGTGGGTAGAGCAATGATACACTTAGAGTTTCTGAGGTATCAACAGGCAAGATCTCCAGTGGGTTTTTTGGGTGCAAAATACAGTATTCAGTAATAATGCCTGTCTCTCCCCACTTCCCCCAAGCAGAGCAAAACATACAGACTCCTAGCCCCCATCCACAGAGATTCAGATTCACTAGGTCTGAGGTGGTGCCTGGAAAACTACCTTTTAGAAAAAGATCCCCCAGGTAATTGTGATGCAGCCAACAGACTAGCCAGCACTTGAGACCTCTGGCCTACAGGTGCCATTTGTAATCTATTATGAACCATAAAGCTTGGATTGCGATAGATAACTTGATCTTGTCAAATTGCTAGGTTTGTGAGAGGACAAAAAAATGAAAAAATGAATAAAACATGGTACCTGCCTTCCAGAGGCTCCTAATCTAGTCAGAAGACACAGAGAGGCATAGGAGTTGAAGAATCTAGGAAAGTATTGTGAATAAGGCTGAGTGTGAGCATGTCCTTTGTAGGATAGATGGGATTTCTGCTGGTGGTGATGGGGGCAAGGAAAGGCCATACTCAGGAGTGAGCTCTAGGTCTTTTTATTTGGAAAGTATCAAAGGTAAAAATGTTGAAAGACTAGTGTAATAGCAACTGTAATCTAGATTGACCTAGATTTAATAATTGTTAAAATTTTGCCACATTTGCTCATTTGCTATATCTTTCTTTATACATTGCCCTTTTTTTCTTGCTAAATCTTGTGAAAGTAAATTGCTTACATCATGTTACTTCACCCAAATGTTTATGCATGCATCCTCCAAAAATAAGAACATTTGTCTACATAGCACAATATCATTAAAAGCTGGAAAATAGTAATTCCCGTCCATTCTCAAACTTCCCCAGTTGTCTCTCAAGATGTAGTCAAGGATTACATATTTCATTTGGTTGTTATATCTCTCTTATCTCTTAATTTAAAATGGTCTTCCTACCTTTCTTTTCTCCCTCGTGACATTTTTTAATTGAAAATTTTGCTGAGATAAATATAGTTTCATGCAAACTTAAGAAATAATACAGGGAGATCCTATGTACACTTTGCCAGTGTCTCCAAATAATAACATTCTGCAAAACTATAGTACAATATCACAACCAGGATATTGACATTGATACAACCCACCAATCTTATGCAAATTTCCCCAGTTTTACTTGTACTCATGCGTGAGTATTAAGTTCTATACAATTTTATCAATTGTGTAGGTTTGTACACAAACCTACAGTCAAGATACTCAGCAGTTCCAAAAACCACAAGAATCTCTCATGTTGCCATTTTATAACCACACTTCTCTCTCTCTCACATCCCTGCCCCTGCACCCCTAACTCTAGCCCCTGACGACCACTAATTTGTCTTCTGTTTCTAAAATTTTGTCATTTCAAGGACGTTATAAATTGAATCATATAGTTTATAATCTTGGGATTAGCTTTTTTCTGCTCAGCCCAATTCCCTGGAGATTCATCTAAGTTGTGTGTGTATCAATAGTTCAATCTTTTTTATTGCTAAATCATATTCTGAGGTATGTATGTGCTGCAGTTTGTTTAACCATGTTCCTGTGGAAGGACATCTGAGCTGATTCCACTTCTTGGAAATTATGAATAAAGCTGCTATGGACACTTGTGTACAGGTTTTTGTGTGAATGTAAGTTTTTATTTCTCTGGGATAAATGCCCAGGAGTGCAATTGCTGGGTTGTATGGTAGTTATATGTTTAATTTTTTAAGAAACTGTCAAACTGTTTTCTAGAGTGGCTATACCATTCTATATTTCCCCATAACATTTTTTTTTGAAGAATCCAAACCAGTTTTGTTTTAGAATGTCCCACCTACATTTTGTATTTGTTTGATCTTTTCCTAACAGCATCTTTCAATTTGTTCCTCTGTCTCCTGAGTTTCTGGTAGACTAGAGGTTAGGTCTAGAAATATCTCTAGGTGAGATATTTTTTATGTTGCATCACATGAACCCTAAGGAAGTCAGAGTGTGCTGGTGGACAACAAGTCTCGTTGGCACAGGGATTAACCACCACACAGCCCAGATCCAAAATGACAACAAACATGTATCAAGGGCCTCGGGCTATTGTGCCATGCGCCTGGAAGAGTGTGAGGTGAGGAGCAGGTTCCTGCCCCTAAAGAACTCTCAAGAATAACAGCTAATTCTAGTAGTGTGAGCCTCCTGATGGGGATATGCCAAGTAGTAGCTTGGAGGCGGCAGTTAATTCTGCTTTGGGGATATGTGTATGGGGTTATAAAACTTAACTGAAAGCTGAACTTTGACCTGGCCCTAGAATAAAAGAAAAATAGACTCCAAATAGAATAGCAATAAATAATGATCCTGAGGTAGCAGAGTGTATTTTGGAGGCCTTTGGGTTCTATATTAAGGAATTCAAATTTATGCGCAATAAAGAAGTTCTGAAGTTACTGAGTTTGTTTGTTTTTAAAGGTAAACTGTATTAATACTGGGGCCATGGAAAGTGTGGATGACAGCAGGTGGGAAGACCCACTAGTAAACCATGGCAATCATGTGTAAAATGTCCTAAACCAGGTGCCATAGAGAGAAGGAGTAGGGTTCAAATATTTATGGTTAGAATTCAAAAACATGTCTGAAGTTTTATGCTTTTGTGGCTATGACATTGCTACATTAAATGAGTTTGGAACACACTAGAGGTCGGGAGGGAAGTTGAATATTAACGTGTTGTGTTGTGAGTCTATGGGACAGTCGAGTAAAGATGTCCAGGAAGACTGTTAGAAATATAACTTCTGGAGCTCAGGGGATAGTGTAAGGAAGTGGCGATTGATCCTATAAACTCCCAGAAAGCACTGGTGCGGGGAGAGGGGGGCTTCTGGCGGGTTAAGGGGCAGACAAGAAATTGAACGAAGGGGTTCAATCCCGTTCTGAGGAAGCTTGCTGTCCATGTGCATGCTCCAGCTTCCTTCCATGGGAGACCAAAACAGCCTGGCAAGCGCTCGCCGACCCGCCAAGCTCGCTAAGCCCGCACGCGCCGGAAGGCAGCCCGGGGCAGGAGCCCGGGGCAGGGGCCCGGGGCGAGCGTGCGGGTCACGCGGAGGCCACGCGTGCGGGGGAAACGCGCGAGGGCGGCGGTGAGAGCGTGCGCCTGCGCAGTAGCCGGCCGTCGGTTAGGCGCAGACAGGCCCGCGGAGGATGGAGGGATGGAGCTGCCCCGGGACACGGCCAAGGTTTCCAACGCGGCTGATAACCACAGCAGGCGGGTCCACACCCTGTACACAGCCCCCGTACTGCAGCGGGGGCCCCACACCAACCTGGAAGCCATGCACTCCAGAGCGTCGTTGTTTTCCTCGGGCCGGAACTTCCAGGAGAGAGACCATGGCAAGACCACGTACCTGCCCAAGGACCAGGCCAAGGAGGGCGCGGGACACCGGCTCCTGAACGTGAGTGGGGCCCGGCGGGCGGAGGCCGTCCCCTGCCCGCCACCTGCGGGGCCAGGAAGGACCACGGGCAGTGCGTGCAGGTGGGAGGGACGGAGACCTGCCCTAAGTTGGGAGGTGGTCATACCTGAGGGGTTTCTTGTGGGACCTTGACAGTTATTGAACTTGTCAGAGCCCCGTTTTATCAACTGTGAAATGAAGACAGTACTACCTACCTTGTAGGGTTGTCTGAGGAACTAAAGGAGATAATGGTGTAAAGTGCTTAACACAGTGCAGAGCACAAAGTAAAGAGTCACTAAATGTTAGCGGCTGTCTTCTGCGTTGGGGTTTCCTTTATGTGGTTAGAGGGCTCAGCTCCGGAAACTTGAGTTCCCTTGTTTTCAGTTCCTGGGGTTCTTAGAGATGAACCTCTGGGAGCAAATCTGCATCAGGTCTGCAAAGTGAATTATTGGCCTCGAGTTCTTAATTAGAAAGATAAATTTATATTTGAAATGTGTGGAACTCTTGGAGTTTACCGTTTAGTGGTATCACCAGAGGATGGAGGAAATGGAAAAGGGGAATCAAATTGAAACTCAGCTTTTCAAAGTTGTTAGAGGGTTATTAGGAAATGTTACATTCTCTATTGGTCATAAGTTATTAAAAAATAGTATAGATAAAAGTATTTATCAGGAAACAAATGGTACAAAAAGATGATGTCCTTCTCTGTAAAATTAAGAAGTTGAATTACTTGATCTCTAAAGTACCCTTTTAATTCTAAAAACTTAGACTACTCTTCACTCGTTGTTATGATAAATTAAGAGCATATTAGGATTTAGCTATAGGATAATACTAGGAAAAATTGCAAAGGTTGTGTAAGAGAGAGGTGCTTGGAAATCTAGGCCATAGTAGGTTTTTGTTGTATATCTTAAGGAATTTGGACTTTATTCTGTAGAATGGTGATTTCCAATATTTTTTTGAGGATCTCTTTTTATTGTAAAAAAAGAAATCTCTCCACGTAAGAGTAACCGGCTCTTTACTGTCTACTGACTGGGAAAATCTTTTATGACAAAAAGCTACCATTGGCAGTGTTTTTAATGGGATTTGCTTGTAGATGCGACAGCATCTACATACATTCAAAAAAGATTGGTGCACCTGTATGCAAGGTCTATTGTTTTCCCAAGTGTGGTTCCCAAATTATTTGACTGTAGAATATTTTAATGTTTTGACAAAACCATAAAAAGAGCTTAGGAAATGAAATATGCACTTGAATTTAGTTATGACCTCATAAATGAATTATTTTGACACAGATCGAGAGGAATGAGTTTATGTAGCATAGGTGTTTATTATACAGTAAACTTAGAGTAATGTGATAACTATATGTTATTAAAATTATCATAACAGCTGCTATAAGATATGTGATGTAGACCATTGAATACGGAGTGGATAGTCCTCTTCAGTTAAGTAAATGCTGTCTTGACATCAGTACACAGATGAAACATTATATATTTGGGCAACAGGTAGTCTTTTCTACATCTTCTTGGCATCTTTTGTGTATGGCACATGATTTCTTCAAAGAGGATTATCATAGGATAATAAGAGCTATATAGTTATGTTTAGCATTTTCTGTACAAAATACATATTTTTTATTTTTTTATTTTATTGAGGTCATAATAATTTATAACATTGTGAAATTTCAGTTGTACATTATTATTTGTCAGTCACTGTATATATGTGCCCCTTCACCCCTTATGCCCAGCCCCAACTCTCTTCCCCTCTGGTAACCACTAATCTGTTCTCTTTGTCCATGTGTTTATCTTCCACATATGAGTGAAATCTTATGGTGTTTCTCTTCCCCCGTCTGGCTTGTTTCGTTTAATATAATACCCTCAAGGTCCATCCCTGTTGTTGCAAATGATACATCTTTTGTCTTTTTTTATGCCTGAATAGTATTCCATTGTATATATGTATACCACATCTTCTTTATCCATTCATCAGTTGATGGGCACTTGGGTTGCTTCCACATCTTGGCTATTGTGAATAATGCTGCAAGGAACATAGGGGTGCCTATGTCTCTTTGAATTGTTAATTTCAAGTTCTTTGCATACCCAGTAGTGGGATAGCTGGGTCATATGGTATTTCTACTTTTAATTTTTTGAGAAATCTCCATACTGTTTTCCATAGTGGCTGCACCAGTTTCCATTCCCACCAGCAGTGTATGAGAGTTCCCTTTTCTCCACATCCTCTCCAACATTTGTTTTTTGTCTTGGTAATTATAGCCATTCTGACAGGTGTAAGGTGATATCTCATTGTAGTTTTGATTTGCATTTCCCTCGGGATTAGTGATGTTGAACACCTTTCATGTGCCTGCTGGCCATCTGTATAACTTCTTTGGAAAAATGTCTGTTCATATCTTCTGCCCATTTTTTGATCTAGTTATTTGTTTTGTTGTTGTTGAGTTCTTTATATATTTTGGGGATTAACCCCTTGTCGGATATATGATATTTTTTCCCAATTGGTGGGTTGTCTTTTTGTTTTGTTCCTGGTTTCCTTTGCCTTGCAGAAGCTCTTTAGTCTGATGTAGTCCCATTTGTTTATTTTTTCTTTTGTTTCTCTTGTGGGAGTAGACATGGTATTTGAAAAGATGCTGCTAAGACCGATGTCAGTGTGTACTCCCTATATTTTCTTTTAGGAGTTTTATGGTTTCATGTCTTACCCTCAAGTCTTTAATATATTTTGAGTTAATTTTTGTGTATGGCGAAAGATAATGGTCTTCTTTTATTCCTTTGCATGTGGCTGTCCAGTTTTCCCAACACCATTTATTGAAGAGACTTTCCTTTCTCCATTGTATGTTCTTGGCTCCTCTGTCGAAGATGAGCTGTCCACAGATGTGTAATTTTATTTCTGGGCTTTCACTTCTGTTCCATTGATCTGTGTGTCTGTTTTTGTATCAGTACCATACTGTTTTGATTATTATAGCTTTGTAGTATATTTTGAAGTCAGGGATTGTGATGCTTCCAGCTTTGTTCTTTTTTCTCAGGATTGCTTTAGCTCTTTGGGATCTTTTGTTGCCCCATATGAGTTTTAGTATTCTTTGTTCTATTTCCGTGAAGAATGTCATTGGGATTCTGATTGAGATTGCATTGAATCTGTAGATTGCTTTAGGTAGTATGGACATTTTAACTGTGTTTATTCTTCCAATCCATGAGCATGGAATATCTTTCCATTTCTTTGTCATCATCGATTTCTTTCAATAATGTCTTATACTTTTCATTGTATAGGTCTTTCACCTCCTTGGTTAAATTTATTCCTAGATATTTCATTCTTTTTGTTGCAATTGTAAATGGGATTGTATTCTTGACTTCTCTTTCTGTTAGTTCTGTTTGTCATATATGGCCTTTCTTATGTTGAGGTACTTTCCTTCTATATCCATTTTATTGAGAGTTTTTATCATAAAGGGATGTTGGATCTTGTCAGATGTTTTCTCTGCATCTATTGAGATCATCATGTGATTTTTATTCCTCATTCTGTTAATGTGGTGTATCACATTGATTAATTTGTGTATGTTGAACCATCCCTGTGTCCCTGGTATAAATCCCACTTGATCATGGTGTATGATCCTTTTAATGTATTGCTGATTTTGGTTTGGTAATATTTTTGTGTGTGTGTGTGAGAAGATCAGCCCTGAGCTAACATCCATGCTAATCCTCCTCTTTTTGCCGAGGAAGACCGGCTCTGAGCTAACATCTATTGCCAATCCTCCTCCTTTGTTTTTTTTCCACCAAAGCCCCAGTAGGTAGTTGTACATCATAGTTGCACATCCTTCTAGTTGCTGTATGTGGGACGCGGCCTCAGCATGGCCAGAGAAGCGGTGCGTCGGTGCGTGCCCGGGATCCGAATCCGGGCCGCCAGTAGCGGAGCGCGCACACTTAACTGCTAAGCCGTGGGGCCGGCCCTGGTTTGCTAATATTTTGTTCAGGATTTTTGCATCTATGTTCATCAGCGATGTTGACCTGTAATTTTCCTTCTTTGTGTTGTCCTCGTCTGGCTTTGGGATCAGGGTGATGTTGGCCTCATAGAATGTGTTAGGAAGTGTTCCGTCTTTTTCAATTTTTTGAAATAGTTTGAGAAGGATAGGTATTAAATCTTCTTTGAATGTTTGGTAGAATTCTCCAGAGAAGCCATCTGGTCCTGGACTTTTATTTTTTGGGAGGTTTTTGATTATTTCAATCTGTTTACTTGTGATTGATCTATTTGGATTCTCTCTTTCTTCTTGATTCATGTTTGGGAGGTTGTATGCATCTAAAAATTTATGCATTTCTTCTAGATTGCCCAGTTTGTTGGCTTATAGTATTCTCTTATAATCCTTTGTATTTCTGTGGTATCCATTGTAATCTCTCCTCTTTCATTGCTAATTTTTTTTATTTGTGCCTTCTGTCTTTTTTACTTAGTGAGTGTGGCTAACGGTTTGTGAATTTTGTTTATCTTCTCAAAGAACCAGCTCTTAGTTTCACTGATCCTTTCTACTGTCTTTTTGGTTTCAATTTCATTTATTTCTGCTCTAATTTTTATTATTTCCCTCCTGCTGACTTTGGGCTTTGTTTGTTGTTCTTTTTCTGGTTCTGTTAGGTGTAGTTTAAGATTGCTTATTTGAGATTTTTCTTGTTTGTTAAGATGGGCCTGTATTGCTGTGAATTTCCCTCTCAGGACCACTTTTGCTGCATCCCATATGAGTTGGTATGGTGTATTTTCATTTTCATTTGTCTCCAGATATTTTTTGATTTCTTCTTTAATTTCTCATTGATCCATTTGTTGTTTAGTAGCATGTTGTTTAGTCTCCACATATTTGTCACTTTGCTAGCTTTTTTCTTTTAGTGATTTCTAGTTTCATAGCATTATGGTCAGAAAAGATGCTTGATATGATTTCCGTCTTCTTAAATTTATTGAGACTTGCCTTGTTTCCCAACATGGTCTATCCTTGGGAATGTTCCCTGTGCACTTGCGAAGAATGTGTATTCTGCTGTTTT